GCTTTCCAGCAGCTTCGAACGTCACTGACAGGTCTGAATCTGTCCGTTTCACCTTTACCTCTGAGGACAGAGTTTCTGAAGAAGAGATGGCTTTTCTTTTACACAGCTCCACATTCAGCTTAAATTTACTTGCTAAATTCTTCAAACCAGCTCGTTGTGTTAGAGCAGATCTAGAGGAGGAGCCACTTTTTCTTGATCCCAGTTTACAGACGTCAGCTGTAATTCACCCAGGGGATGTACCCATCTTCGATTTATACCAATAAATACTTTTTGAATCTCCTTCAGGACACAAAATAACCACACATTTCATTTTAGTTTTCTCTGATAAAATGTCCAAAACAGATGAAACAACAATTTAAGGCACTTCCTTGATAGCAGCTGCTTACAAACAGTAACTAAAGGTTAGAAGTGTAGTTAAACCACAGCGGAGGTTTATGTTAGGGCAAGGTTGTAGTACTTGAATGGGCGCTCCAGTAAAGTGGGCCACGGTGCTGCGACATCCCTCAGCTCCATCGATTGCTACAGTTACTACAATTAAAATGATAAAAACAAACAGTTATTTATTTAGCTGTTTCCAGCTTTTCTATCAAGGATATGTTGACAATTTGTCCAGAAGAAACATGTTTACACCACTAAAATGAACTGTGTTGTACTCCGTTGGGACCCATTCAGTCTGTCCTGAGAGCGCCCCCTGTGAAACAGATCAGGAGAGTTTGGTGCGTTCTCTGGTTTCCTGCTAACATCTCAGTTTCACTAGAGTTAGAGTAATTCGAATACTTTGGGCTTTAAGATCTGTTTTTGGTCAGATAGACGGTCGTTCAGTGACTTCAGGTGTTCTGCCTTAAATGTGACTTCAGGTGACCGTGCATCACATCGGGCTTGAGCAGGTCTGAGTTTATAGACTCGGGATGATCCTGGCTCTAAGAGCACAAACGAAGCACAAATGGTGACAAAGCGCACCATGTCGTCGTGATTAACCCGAGGCTGCTGGGAAGCTCTCGCGCTGAAGCAATTTCAGGAAGCTCTGCCCTGTTCTGCTTTCAGTCGGCCATGTTGGATGTCTAACTTGCCGTTTTCTCTGGGGTTATTATTTTAATTTGTTTCTTTGTTTCTGTTTGGGGAAATTCTGGGGTCTGGGTTGAAACTTGAAGCCAAATTATTGAAATAAAATCTGATTTATTTTATGTTGGGTTTACTTTTTTCTTTCTCCATGTTGGGGGCACAGAGAAAAGGGGTCAAAGTGCCTCTGATGTAACTAACAACACAGTTTGTGTATGTGTGCAGACATGCACACACACACTTCCCCTGATATACACACACACACACACTTGGTTTGACAGTCAGAGGTTGCTTTTTCCAGGGCTTTCAGCTTAATCACGGCTCTTTAAATGTCTGAGAATTTCCCAGAATTCAGATTAACCGACTATACAACACCCGAAGAACAAAGTTTAAAAGGAGGAACAAGAAAATTTGTCATGTTTGACGGGCCAAATATCAAAATCTATTCATTTTTTTTAATGACACACAAGACGTCAGACCTCTGATGAAATATTTTGAGAGACATTGAATCATTTCAAAGTGTGTGTGTGTGTTGGTAGACAGGGATGTGTGTGTGTTGGTTCACAGTCTGGACTCTTGAGCAGCGTTCGTCATCGTTCGTGTACTCCGTTTCGTCTCCGTGTTTAAAAAGAACTAAAATAAGACAATGAACAAATACTCCTGATGTGTAAAGAGAAAAAACACTACAGAACAGAGAGAGAATTGTAAGATAAAATGTTATCGACTGATGTGCTACTAGACTTATTTTGTTAAAACTGTTTAGAGATATGAGAGGGAGCTATGTAGAGGATATGATGAGGATGTATTGAATATGCAGAGCGATGTTTGGATTAAAGTTGTAGCAAGCTGACCCACCAAACCTGCTTCCTGTGTCTTTATTCACAAACACTGAGAGATGAACTCATTTTGGGTCAATATAAATACTTCAGAAGGTTGAAACTATCCTGTTTTTTTCCATCCGGCTTCTGCATGCTGTTATTTTGAAATGGCAACAGCAGGAAGGGCATTACAAAGGGATTTTTACTGTAACTGCTCACAAGATTTAAAACATTGCATTGTGTAGAGATGGTGTGTACTTTGTGGTTCTGAATTAAATGCAAATAAGACACTTTAAACATTAATGTTTCCAGATTCTTGAAGACTGTTGTGTTAAAGAAAACCCAATTCTCTTTAATCCATTTTTACTAGATTAAAACACTGCAAGAAGAAAGGTAAAGAGCAGTATGAATGCCTTCATTTCTGAAAAATCTCTCGATTGGAGTATTATATTAAACTGATTTGTGAATTTGAATGATTTTGTAGTGCCCAAACAACTCCCAAGTACAAGAAAATGTTTATAAAATATGTAGTTTGATCGATACAGGATTAATGAAGTGGGTTTTTTTAAGGGAAAGTAATGTTAGAGTAAAGTTTTAAAGACAAAATTATCTCAAAGTTGTTAAAGTTGCTTTATCATTAAGAAAAATCTTGAAATATCAGCACCTAAAATCCAAACGTGTGCTGCTACAAACCCTTAATTTATTATTTTTTACATTTGTTTCATTAATCATGGTTAGCAGATTTAAAGTTACAGAATTGCAGTCAAGTATCTGGTTGAATCTTCAGAGAAAAAGAATAAACATCATCATAGTCATGTTTTCTTTTTGTGTATGTGTGTTATTATTTACAGCTTTTCTATGACGACAACCAAGAAAAAATAAATTATTGGTTGATGTATATATGTTTTTTCACGTGCTATATGTTCATGTTCCTCTGTGTATGGTTGTTTATCAGGGTGATGAAAACTCAGAGCAAAAACGTAAAATAACAATATTTTGTCCTCTTGAAAGTGAACACATCACATAATTCCCATGTTCAGGCCCCCCTTTTTTTTGAGGTATTAAGATGTTTGAAATGACAATTAAAGTTCTGCGACCAGATGTAATTTTTTTCACTCTTCGTTGGGTTTCCATAAAATCCTAAAACCCTATCATGAGGTGTGATAAGAGGACCCAGATGCATGAGACAACAGCTGGCTGCAAAAGAAATGATCAACTTTATTGGTGGAAACAGAAGTCCAAAAGGGCACAATGGGCCAAAGCCAGCACTGCAAGCAGATAACACATGGAAAATAACCATTGCTACAACAAAAGGACTTGAAAAAGCAAGAGATGATGCTGTTTATACTGTACACAGAAGACCAACTGACCCAAGAGGACAGAATGAGAGAGGAGCAGCCAATCACAGAGGAGGAAAAGGGGCAGGAAGTAAAAACAGGAGGAGGCACTAACCTTCAAAGTAAACCAGGATGTTACTGAACGATAACACTAGGGAAACTAGAATAATACAGAAATCAAGACAAGAACTGAAACCTATCAGTAGAACAACTGTAAAGTCAAAACAGGAACAAAAAGAACCAAAAAAACAAAACACTTCAAAACCCTGGAACTATGACACGCCAACTCCTTATAATAAAAATAAATCACTTTATTTTTGCTCTGCAGAAGAAATCATCCATCTGGTAAAATCCAAACATCATGTTCTGAGCTGTAAGCCTTCCTCCATGGGTGGAACCTGCTCACACCAACGTTTATGGACACTTTTCTAAGAAGTCTCTTGATTTTGTGTTTTGCTACGTGGAGCACCTCAAACCGAGTGCAGTTTACTTCTCTCCCAGGTTTCTCTATATCAAGAGAAGCCTGAGATTCTTTCCAGAACAATCTTCATCTAAAAAACGCTTCAGGCCAAGTGAGTTTGAGGAGAACTGTCCCTTTAAGGCAGAGTGAGCTGTATAGGTGATGTAATGCAGACATGAAATAATGAAGAGAAGCAAAGGTTGCACAATTAGACAACACAGGTCTGGACTTGCATATGAGTGTGTGTGTTTGATATAAGCTGAATGTCGTCACACAACAAACACGCATCAATCATCTATCCGGAGCATGATGTCACCTTTTATGAGACGGTTTCAACATGCAGACAATAAAAAAAATCTTAAAAAGGACAGTACTCATATTTCTGTCTGTCTGATTCTGAGTCAGAAGAAAAGAAAAGTAAGACACAATTTCATTCAGGTAAAACTTAAAATACTGGGACATGGGCAGAGGGAGTGTTTCATGACAATAAGCTTCTTAGAAAGTGGGGGAGGCCGAACGGTCACTGGACACATGTGGTCACATCTGGTGCTAATAAAGTGGATCATCAATCAGCATCACATGGGATAATCACTGCAGTATTTACAGAGCACAGACAAGGGCGTGTAGATGTGCTGGAAAGCAGAGATAAGTCAGAAAGAAATAAATGTGGAAAAAACAGGTGGGAAATTCTCAGAGTCTAAAGGAGCTTAAACCAACTGAAATCAGTGTTTTTATAAACTTACCCCAGAGTCATAAACTTAGATAAATCTTAGTCTTAGCTTTATGGCTTTCAGACACAGACTGTAAATAAAAGATGGACGTAGCAGCAGTAACATCACTTATCTGTTAGTGAAGTCCTGCTATTAAGCCTCTGTCCGAGGGTTTTCATCATAAACAGCTTAGCCTTTTGAAATGAAGACGTGACGAACGAGGATTGGTATTAACAGTGAATGCTGCATCCTTATTGGCTGATCAGAGTACTCTCCATCCCCCTGTTTCACTCTCATAAAGAATGATATACACAAAGTATTGTGTAGTACTCAATAATAGTAGCGCCTGAGCTACTACCATAAAAAAAAAATGAAGGGCAGTTTCCACATTGTGTTATACACAAAAGGAAATAACCAGTGGAATCGCCCTCCGCTGGACAGAGTTCAGGTGTAAGGCACTTACACTCACTGGAAATAAACTGAAGGAAGTAAGCAGGACCAAACCCTCTGCTCTGCACTCCAAAAAAATATTTAATGTGCTGGAAATCTTCTTTGCTACAATTTCTCCAGCATGAACAAATAAATGGGAAATGCTTTGAGTGTTATGAAGGTCCATCCTCTCACATGTAACCCTGCCAGACCACAGTGATGAAAAGGTAAGAGGGCTTAAAAATGCTGGAAAAAATAACGCCTCGAATTTCAACCCACCCAAATGGATGTGTGAGGGCCTGAAACTCAAATGAATGAAGGTTTATGCAAAATAAATAACTAAATTTACAGAATGTGAGGTGGAACTCATTGACACAAAGGTTATTGACTAGAAGAAATATGAAATTATGTTTGTACATGTATTTATATTCAAACCATGCGAATCTATAACTACTCTGTGTGTAGTGTCTGCATCTGTGTCCAAGGTGCGGGAAATAAATAGACTTTAATGGACTTCAATGCCGTTGGGAGGCGGTAAAACGTCGCTGACGGTGACTAGCAACTCAGACAAACGAGAAGAAGAAGAAGCTGATTAATCCGAGCAGCACCTGAACGCAGCGGCATTAGTGCGGAGAAAGTTCAGACCGAGCTGCAGCAGCTCCGAGGAAACAGCGCGGCAACACAGCAGGCTTACCGGCCAACTTTCTGTAATTTCTAACCCATCTCCGTGCCAGAAGCCTTACACAAAATCAGCGAGGAAACTTATCAAAGATGCCGGCCACAGAGAAGGACCTGGCGGAGGACGCTCCGTGGAAGAAGATCCAGCAGAACACCTTCACCCGCTGGATCAACGAGCACCTGAAGTGCGTCAACAAGCGGATCGTGGATCTGCAGCTGGACCTGGGCGACGGCCTGAGGCTCATCGCCCTGCTGGAGGTCCTCAGTCACAAGAAGATGTACAGAAAGTACCACCCGAGGCCCACCTTCAGGCAGATGAAGCTGGAAAACGTGTCGGTGGCTCTTGAGTTCCTGGAAAAGGAGAACATAAAGCTCGTGTCCATAGGTGAGTACCGGGGTCCATTCATTCATCTGGAAGCTTCCTCCTCAGCTGTGCGCCTCCGACAAAACTTTGTAACATAATAAAGAGTCCGCACACGACAGGGATTCTGGAATATCCAATATTTCTTCTCCGAGTAAAGTTTTCATCCGGTTTTCACTCACTATTCCAGGTTTAAAGCCTCATCGTCCCGTCTTCTGTCCTGGAATACACGGGCTACCATTTAAAATTCAGGCATTTTTACATCCTTGGCTTTTCTATGCGAGAACAAACGTCGCACCTGACTGCAAATGCAGATTTTTAATAATTTTGGACACTCTTCAATTCGGCATAGATTTTTAACCCAGAAAGCACAAATATTTTCTGTAAAATATCAGATTTGTAAGTTTCACTGCGCCGCTACCGCCCACTTGGTAGCGTTTCGTTAGCAAGGTGAGGCATTGGGGAACTTGAGTCTCTTAAAAGCTGATAAAGTTCACCATTATGCACTCAAAGTAAGCCTGTAGCGAAAGGTAGAAGAAACGTTATTGCTTAAATTATCCGTAATTTAATAAATTCACATTCCTGGTGGCTTCTGTACGTGTAAGCAGTGTACAAGAACTCCTTGCAAAACGTCATCGAGAAATGATCTTTTTAATAATGTCGCGCGTTTATCTGCGATATTAAAGTAATGTTGAATCGATTTAATACTACCTTTAGAACTAGTGGATGTCCTTCTTTAATTCGGCGTAAACTCATCAAAAATACTTGGACTACTTTTAAAATGTAGGTTATTTTTTATTTATTTGTTTTAACGTTTAAATCTGGGTCGTGTGAGAGTCGTAGAAACGTGGGTCTAAACTTGGCCTTGGCATTCAGGGTAATTTCTGATGAAGTGAATGGGTTTTTTCTGTCAACAGCAGCGTTAAGTGACAGATTTCTCAATTGAGTTTGGCGTGTTGTGGGTGCAGAGTGTGTTTTTAATGAGCAGTCTCCCACAGAGGTGAGGACACACCTGTGTTAATGAGGCCGACCTCGTGGAGAACTCAAGTCTCCTCAAATATTTCACCCTCGGACTCAAAGAAATCACAAAGTCAGAGCTGAATGATGTTCAAGAGCTCTTCCTCCCCCCTTCCCACAGTTTTTTGATCTGCTTTGCAGTCATTCTGCTTCATGTCCTTTACAAGCTGCTCTTTGCTGGGTGACTAACCACACCACACCTGAATTTAATTTCCATTGTTTGTAGTTTACGTCCCTTTTGTAAATAGTAGATTTTTGTTCCCTTAAGGTAATGTTTTAGAGGGTTAATCATCACTCATTAAATTGAGTCAGTGGGGAGGAAATCGGTAGAGATATAGATAGATTTCAAGATTTAAAGAAAAAATTTGCGCTAAAAATGCCATGCAAATTTCTGGTTTCAGCTTCTTGTATTTGAATATATCTGGGTTTTGGTTATTGGTGGGACTTTGGTAAAACTTTGATCATAGCATCTGAGAGAAATGGATTAAAAAATTTGATCTGTGGGTTTTTGTTCTCCCCTTTTCACTCGTCATGAGTAATCTGGACAAAAAAAATTGTGCTCTTTTAAAAAGAGGGATTTTATTGATGTTTCACTGACTAATGCTTTTCCTTCAGACTGAGAAGTGACCCGGTGATCTAGGAAGTTGGGGGGAAAAAAGGGAATCCTCTCTGTTTCCCTTTTAGCTTGTTTTGCACATCTCATCTCAGTGCTTGGTGATTCACTGCAAATCTAAATGCTCTACATAATTAGATTAATCAGCATAAACTTGATGAAGCAAGAGTACACGAAGAGCCGAGAAATGGAAAGGTCATTACAGGCATGATTGATGCTGTTTGAAATGTCCCTGAAAGTTTGGAAAAACAAAAGCTCGTTACTCCCAGAACACCTTTTTGTTCTTGTACCTGAGTTTGCATTTATGAAATGAATGAAAATGAGTTAAACTCATGGTCTCTGGATCCTCTGTGCATATGGATGGTTATTTCTGCTCGTTGAGACATTTTAAGGTGTTTGGTGTCAGGTAGAGAGCTGCTTAATTGGCTGTCTGCTCATGTTTTTTGAGGGTGCTGAGCTGTTTTGCTGTTCATACTGGTGTAAATGGTGGACAAAATAACAGAAGAATCTCTCCAATCTTTCATAGAGGTGTATTTTCTTTATATATATTTTTTCCCATTAGTTTTAGCTCCCTCAGTTTGGCTTTGTCACATTCATAACAGAAAACCTACATTTAAAACAAACTGGAGGCATCGTGTATGAAAGTTGGACCTTCTACCAGCTGTTATGGGAATTGTAGTCAAACTAGTCAAAGATTTTTCTTTTTTACTCCTGTGTTTAAAAATCTCAACATTTAAAATGTGAGATTTTAATCCCAAACAAACTGAAAGAAGAATTTAGTCATCTGCACTAACGCTGGTGTTTTCAAATTTCCATCCCAGCAGTGCCGTTTGATTTTCACTAAATGCGTTTGCACTTTGTGCACTGGCTTCACTCCTGTCCTCCGAGGTTGGTGCCCATCCTTGGTCTGTGTCAATGAGCTGATTCACAGCCTGAGTCAGTGTCATCTCTGAGGCAAAATGATCTCATCTCCTCCCTGTGGTTACCTGTTGGCAGGACCAGGTGTGTGTGCTTTGTGATGTGATGAGTAGTCTGGGTTCTTGTTTCCCAGACGGTGAGTTTTGGTGTTTTCATTGGAGCTGCGTACAGTCCAGCACGACATCCTGTTCAAGAATCGTTCAGTTAAACTCGGAACAAAACACAAAATGTGACACCAAGTCGAGTCATTGCCAGTATTTCATTGTACTTGTACAATGACAGTAGAGGGCTATTCTACCCTTTTCTATTTTTATAAGTGTCATACTTTAAAGGCTGAAAAGGGCATACCAGACAAAAGTCACTAATAAAACAAACAATAACAAAGAAACAAAGAAAAATAAGTCCTTGACAAACTGACAAAATGTTTATCTGCTGTTTTCACCTGAAGGTCACCTGCCTGTTCAGCTCTCTTATGAATAGCACCACTACTTACATGAAATGGATTCAGAGCATGAGTTAATAGCTGTACCTCCATTTATTTTAATGTTTTGACAGAGTCCTGAACAAGCTGCTGGTTGCTGATTATCTTTTTGTAAGAGGGGGGAAGATCACATTGATCCAGCTAGAGATGAATGCACTCTGTTTTTAATAACAACAGTGAGTCAGGCTTTGATTTTATTACGAAAACGGCTTTCTTACATCTCAGAAATATCCCCAAAGTGCAGTTTGAGTCTAAAATAACTCAATGACCTGCCGCTGCTGAGATTAAACGAGTGGTTAACTTTAGACGAGCAGATTGTGTCCAGAACGTCTCTCAGAAGCCTGAATGTGTCGCGTTTCCACAGCTGAGCTGCGTACAGCTTGCTTTCGAGTTCATTTGAGACCAGAGCCGCTTTTATACCTAATCAGACGTCTCCATCTGAACTCTGAAGAGGGAGGGAGACACCTAAAAAAACTAACCGCGCCGAGTGAGCTGAGGTCGGAGTGCGTTCAGCTACGTAACGCTGTGGTGGACGGTTGGTTTTTCCACACTTGAAAGGAAATGACTGCCTGACTGGGTGGGACGTGCACACAGTTGGGCAGAGCTGGTCCTGTTTCAGCTTTCAGACATGAAGCAGAAGACTGTGATTACCTCCTTTTTATGAAGAAGGCAAATATTCAGTGCCTGCTGACAGTGACTTTATGTAACCTATAGTGTGTTCATTATAACAAACTCTTGTTTAAGTAGTAGTTGATTATTGGTAAAAGAGGGAGAGAGCTGAAGGAAGATCAGCTCTCCTCTATCAAAGATCTTGAGTGATGGGAACCATCGGCCTGCCTTACGGGTTTAGGTTTGAGGATAACCAGCAAGTGTTTTGAATACAAAAGGGTTAGCTGATGGCTAAAATTGGTCGAAAAATTTGTTCCAAAACAGAAGTTGTTGAACTCTGTGTGTTCAGGAATATTTCTCCGTTATGGTTGTAACAGAGAAAGGTTTCAAACTGCTGATCTCTCATTCTGACATCCATCTCTTATCCTGATGTGAAGTCAGGAGTTCATGTGATCATGTTGCTTTAATGGCCCTCGTAAACCTGCAGATACAGAGTAGGACATCAGAGGCCTGCACGATGAAGCAGGATTTGAGGGCTCAGCGAATGATTTAAAAATGTGGTTCATTCATATTGGGGGGGGGAAAATTGCCATGGAAACTTGTGCTGCAGACTTCACCTGCTCCACCGCACGTTATGTTCAGAATAGGGAGAGAGATCAGCAGGTACGGCTGCCTACTGAGCAGTCACATGGTTTCGTCTTTCAGGTGAACGTGCTCATAACTACATTGATAAACCCTGAGCTGGCTTATCGACTAGATTCCAATTAACCTGATCGATGTTGGAATAAGTGAAGCCAGATAAGGAGAAAGGAATGATGTACTTTCAGCACATCTCTGGTTCAAACCTGTTTTAATTTTTCTTCATGGGGTAAAAGGAGCCTGTTAGCTGTGGAGAGTTCATAATCACCAGGTGGATTTAACATTAGTTTAGCTTTTTAAATGAACGCTTAAACGGCACGCTGACTCTGGTTTTGTGGAAGTGAAGCATATCCAGATCTCAGACAGGCCATTTGGAGCTCATCCAAAACCACCTTCTCGCACGTCTGGTTGTTCATTTATGCGCAGCACTCCAGCTGCTTTCACTTTTTATTGTTCAGCCGCAGTCTGAAGGGCGTGCCATCTGTGGCACAGGTAGTACTGTCTCGTTTTAAAAGTCGTGTTTCGCAACACATGTACCATCTCACAAATGTTTGCATGTCAGTGCAATACTCGGTAGTCTGAGTTCACTGTGACGCATTTTACAGAAAGTCCACACGACATCAGAGTGTGAAAATGTGCTCGGGTCCCACCTGGACGTCTAAGAGGCTCCGGTGTGTTTTCACAGGTGCCGACAGTTTGTCAGATACCTCACCTCCATGACAGGCGGAGCATATGAGCCAAGTAGGA